ACATCAGATCAGAACTGAAAGTTTGCTGGGGGGGGGGGGGGGGGCTTTAATTTTAACCCCCAGGGGGTCATGATTTGAATAAACTTGAATCTACACTACCTGAGGATGATTCCCTATAAATATCACTAAGCATGGCTTTAAAGTACTTGAAAACAAGATTTTAAAAGGTTTCCCTAGATATTCCTATGTAAAACAGTTAAACTTTTATCGGCCATTTTGGCCCCACCCTACCCCCGGGGGTCATGATTTGAACAAGCTTGAATCTACACTATCTGAGGATGATTCCACATTAGTTTCAACTTTCCTGTCTCAATGGTTCTTGAGAAGAAGGTTTTTCCTATATATTCCTATCTAAAACTTTGATTGGCCATTTTATCCCCACCCTACCCCTGGGGTCATGATTTGAACAAAATTGAATCCACACTACCTGAGGATGATTCCGCATGAGTTTCATCTTTCCTAGTCCAGTGGTTCTTGAGAAGAAGATTTTAAAGAATTTTCCTGTATATTCCTTTGTAAAACTTTGATCAGCCATTTTGGCCCCATTCTACCACCCGGGGTCATGATTTGAACAAACTTGAATCTCAGTACCTGAGAATGATTCCACTTGAGTTTCATTTTTCCTGGTCCTGTGGTTCTTGAGAAGATTTTTAAAGATTTTTCCTGTATATTCATATGTAAAACTTTATTCGGCCATTTTGGCCCCACCCTACCGATGGGGGTCATGATTTGACAAACTTGGATCTACACTACCTGAGGATGATTCCATATGAGTTTCATCTTTCCTGGTCCAGTGGTTCTTGAAAAGAAGATTTTTAAAGATTTTTCCTATATATTCCTATGTTAAACTTTGATCAGCCATTTTGGCCCCCACCCTACCCCAGGGTCTATGTATTCCAAACATGAATCTACTCTACCTAACGATGATTCCACATGAGTTTCACTTCTGTCCATTGGTTCTTGAGAAAGAAGATTTTTAACGATTTTTCCTATATATTCCTATTAAATCATTTGCTATTTTGGCCCCACCCTACCCCCTGGGGGTTATGATTTGAAAACAAACTTGAATCTACACTACCTATGTTATTCCACCACTTTCATCTTTCCTGGCCCAGTGGTTCTTGAGAAGAAGATTTTTTAAAAATGCCATTAATTTTTTTTAATTCATAATTATCTCCCCTTGGAAAAGGGCGTGGCCCTTCATTTGAACAAACTTAAATCCCCTTTACCCCAGGATACTTTGTAGCAAGTTTGGTTGAAATTGGCCCAGTGGTTCTTGAGAAGAAGATGAAAATGTGAAAAGTTTACAACAACGACAACGCCAACAACGACGACGACAACGACGCCAACGACAACGACAGACAACGGACAAATTTTGATCAGAAAAGCTCACTTGAGCCTTTGGCTCAGGTGAGCTAAAAAGTAAAATATAAAAATATTTTTTTATCGAAATAAAAAATATATTTTTTTAATCTATTTCTTGTTTTTAGAATTCTATGAAATCATAACTATTTTAACAAAAATAAAGTATACACATTTATATTTAAATCCACATTTCAGAGTGTTCATAACATTCCAAATACTGACTTAACTTCAAATCAAACTTCATTTGCAGACAGAGGTGGTAATTCATCTCAATGTGACAGACAAAGATAATGCTCTGGATTTTCTTCAGGAGGAAAGCTAATTAATCCCAAGGGACTCATAGCAGCATTCAGTTCACAATGGGAACATCTTCAGCAGTTATCTCTCTTTGCCAATGCATTCTTATATAAAGTTAAGGAATCTACCCCACCACCCTAGCACCAAACCAGGGGACATAGAGAAACAAACTTAGCATCAAAGTATGTCTTTTTGCCTATTGAACTACCATACCAAATTTGATCTTAATTGGGCAGCCACAAAAGAAGTTATTAGGAAAAAACAGAAAATTTGTGGACGGAAGATGACAGACGGACAGACAGAGTGATTACTATAGGGCACCCGCAAATCCTTGCGGGGCCCTAATGATGAGACAATCTTTATTAAAATACAAATTATCATATATATAAATGTTAAATATTGTTAACATGGTTAAGTTACCACTTTAAATAATGCAAAATCTTAATATTTTCTGACATTTTCATACAAAATATTTCTGTTCTTTTTGTTTTTGCAAACTGATGATTAAACAGAGTCCAGTGGATGATTCGTACACATGCTTTGAAATATACATGTATTGTTATGATTAAATCCAATTCCTTTTTTTTTTTATGGAAGGCACAATTCCTCCAGGCAACAAAATAGAATTAAGAAATAACTATCTTCTAATTTGGTATTTGCGACCGTTAATGCTGATTTAACTTCCCAAACTGAGTTTACCGGCTCCGCTTATGCGTCCCCGGTAAAACCGATGTTTGGGAACGTTAAATCAGCATTAACAGTCACAAATATCAAATTAGGAGATTAGTTATTCCCATTCTAATGCAATCTATGCATTTTTTGTTGTTTACATCTTATTTTGTTGATTTTTATTATATAAAATACGTCACGGAGCATTGTGTTTTTGCGTCGCTCTATTATGACGTCACAATGAAAAGATTTCTCTCTCTTTAATGTTCGCTTTACTGCTTCAAACAAAGCGCATCAGCCAATCAAAACATGTTTTACAAAACAATTGTATTAGAATTAAAAATTAAAGAACTGAAAAAGAAATAAAGCTATTCAGAACACCAATAAAAACTAGAAAACTGACCAGTCAGCAAGGGCCCCGCCATGGGGTAGAATTAAAAGGGTGCAGCTTACAGAATGATTAAAAAATATACAAAAAATAAGCAACAGCAACTGTATTCTTAAAATTTCAAGATAATTCCTGAATATTCAAAAACCTGAAAATAATATCCTTGTATTTACATTAGGCAGTAAAGAACAACTTAACATTGAATGTATATTTAAACAATTATGAAGCTTGTGTTATATAAAATGCCAGCCTTCAATCAATGCAAATATAAGGCCTAGAAAAAAAATATGTTTGTTTCTGCTTTCCCGACTGACCCTAATTTATAGTGCCGACCCTAAATATTTTTTTAATGCTTTTGTCCCATGATGTGCAAGATTTCACCCAGGGTATTATAGTTTTCAACTTTGCAAGCTTTTCAAGACAGAAAGAAGTTTGGGTCAACTTTCTATTATAAGTTTAAGTCACAGTAATGCTTAAAAACATGATTTTTTTTGTAATTAATGCTACTTCTATACACGTTTTGATTAAAGAAGCAAAAAAAAATTTCAAAAAAAAAAAATTGCCTACCTACCTACCCTATATTTCTTCAGCCCGAAAGCGGAAACAAACATATTTTTTTTCTAGGCCTCATGAAGGCTTGACCTTAACTTCAAACAAACAGCAGTTGCAGACAAAGGTTTTCATTAAGATTAAGAAAAGCCTACTAAATTTTCTGCAGCAGGCTAGATAATTAATCCCAAAGGATTAATTGTACGTCTCTCATCATTTTTTTCTATATTAAGTTACAATAAGAACTTTTTCAGTATTAATGATAGAATGGGGTTTTTATACAACTACCTTAAAAATTACTAATATTCTTGAATTAACATAAAGTGAAAAAAATTAAATCAAAATCTCTTCTTTAATCTATTTCTTGTTTTTAGAATTCAATGAAATCATAACTTTTAAACAAAAATAAATTATAAAAATTTATATTTAAATCCACATTTCAGAGTGTTCATAGCATTCCAAATTGACTTAACTTCAAAACAAACTTCATTTGCAGACAGAGGTGGTAATTCATCTCAATGTGACAGATAAAGATAATGCTCTGGATTTTCTTCAGGAGGAAAGCTAATTAATCCCAAGGGACTCATAGCAGCATTCACTTTACAATGGGAACATCTTCAGCAGTTATCTCTCTTTGCCAATGCATTCTTATATAAAGTTAAGGAATCTACCCCACCACCCCAGCTCCAAACCAGGGGACATAGAGAACCAAACTTAGCATCAAAATATGTATTTCTGCCTACTGAACTACCATACCAAATTTCTACTTGATTGGGCAACCATAAAAAAAGTTGCCCATTCATTCTTATGCATAGTTAAGGAATCTACCCCAACACCCCAGCTCCAAACCAGAGGACATAGAGAGACAAACTTAGCATCAAAATATGTCTTTTTGCCTACTGAATTACCATACCAAATTTGAACTTAATTGGGCTACCATAAAAAAAGTTATTAGGAAAAAACAGAAAATTTGTGGACGGAAGAATGACAGACGGACAGACAGACAGACAGACAGAGTGATTACTATAGGGCACCCGCAAATCCTTGCGGGGCCCTAATAATAAAACATTTCATAAGTTGTAATTAAATAGAGGCATAAGAAATATCCCATTATTTTTTTATTATGAATCAAAATGGTGTTCAAGATACAATTCAATAGTCAATAATGTTCCTATAATGTTCCTATCCAATTCTCAAAAACAAGAAGAAGTCTGTGAGCCAATATGCATCAGTAATAACCCAGCTTTGATGTGAATATACACTCTCATGAGCATAAAAACAAGTTCATATAAAGAAATATAGTACTTCCTGAGAAAACTGATGGAAATTTTGTACTGAAAGACACATACAGAGGAAATTGACAATGGATTTGTAAAAAAAGAAACCCACAATATGAAATGCCAAAGTAAAGAATGCGTTAAAATTTCAAGCATCTAAAAACAGTGACAAAAATTTTTATGGACAGATGCAGGGTTAAACAGTATACCCCCTCTCCTTCTGAGCAGAGGCATAAAAATCAGTACTCATCTCAATATAAAAGATGCACGATAAACTCTGATACTTTTTTGTTAGAAACCAGACAAGAATCCTTTTTAAAAGACTTCCTTTCCTTTAAGTTTTTGTAGATTTCCCTTTGATGTGACTCTTAATAGATTTACCTATACCTCAATAAATCCCAGTCTACAGTTCATTTTACAAACAACAGCTGACTCTTATCTTGCTAAATACTTACATTTGGATCCCGACATCCTGCGTAATATTGGTTGGCGTAAGGGAAATACCAGCCATACTGTCCTATAGCACCCCACTGGTATCCATCATAGGAAGTCATGTTATTGCTGTCAACATCAAAAAGGGACACGATTAATGAATTCTCACCAAATAATGTGATAGTGCATAAGCTTCAATAAAAATAATTATCTTAATTCCTCTGAGACTGAGCTAAATGCATTTAAAGAAAGTGCGATCAAAATATACAGTGGCGCTTTTTAAATTAAGATGCCTCCATCCCCAATAAAATCGTCCAAATAAATGTGATTAAATCATCCAGGCGAATCTCTTCTTTAAAGACCATCTCATGCTTGTTCATATGCACATAGTAGTTATCAAAAAAACTAGAACTGTCCAAACAGGACAAAATACCCCCCACTGGGTTTTTCAGAAGTAAGTTTTTCCATAAGAAAGATATGGACCGGACACGAATTATGAAATTTTTATTCCAGTGACCTTGAACTTCCCCAAATGACCTTGGGTCACAGTCATAACACATCTTAACGTCATGGGCAATCTTTGTGTGAAATGAGAACCTACCAAATTTATCCATAAGAAAGATATGGACCGGACACGAATTATGAAATTTTTCTTCCAGTGACCTTGAACTTCCCCAAATGACCTTGGGTCAAGGTCATGACACACCCTTGGGCTATGGGCAATCTTTGTGTGAAATGAGAACCTACCAATGACCTTGGGTCAAGGTCATGACACACCCTTGGGCTATGGGCAATCTTTGTGTGAAATGAGAACCTACCAAATTTATCCATAAGAAAGATATGGACCGGACACGAATTATCAAATTTTTCTTCCAGTGACCTTGAACTTCCCAAAATGACCTTGGGTCAAGGTTATGACACACCCTTAGGTCACGGGCAATCTTTGTGTGGAGTAGTAGATTCTAATGTCCCTCTGTAAGAAAGATATGGACCGGACACGTTTGCAAAGACAGACGGACGACAGACAAAATGTGATCAGAAAAGCTCACTTGAGCCTTTGGCTCAGGTGAGCTAACAAAAATGCTGTACATATACCTTCTAGCTTCACACAGAGTAAAGGCCATAAAGGGGGGAATCATAAACATCCATATTATCCGGACTCCATAGGATTTAATCTTATCCATGTACGTCTGTAAGAGGCCTGGTCTGCACAATGGTGGAGGAATGAATGGTATAGCAATCTGAAATGTAACAACATTCAGTTTGTTTTATCTGGTATTATATTGGCTACCACTATGTTAATTTTAGATTCATACAATGGAAGATGCCCATTTGTCACAATGCTCACTCAAGTAGTCCTTAAAGTCCGTCAGTTTATTTAGAACAGGGACCTTATCTTCCACCAAGGGGCCATGACTTGAATATTCTTCAATATAAACAAACTGTGGTTTTTTTAATAAATTTTGTGACTAAAAAACATCATGCTGTTCTTTACCAAAAAAAAATTTATTTTTTTTTTTTCTCTATTGTGCCCCTACCCCCCCCCCCCCCCACCTTTCCCCATCATGATTTGAACAATTAATCTGAGCCAACACTACCTCAAGATACATTTTTTTCACTATGACACTATTCATGAATTTGCTGTTCTTAAGGAGAAAGTTTTCCAGATTTTTCAAGTCTTTTTATTTTCCTTATTTCCAGACAGTAAGTAACTCCTATTTCTTACAAGTATCTTTGCATTCAATTATGTCCCCTCATCACCTTGCTTTCTCAAATTCAGAATAACTTGTAAAGACCTGCAAAATTAATGGACAAGATTTAATCTTACCTCTGCAGTAATTTCCAGATTGAAGTCTTTTGCTTTCTGAATGAAGACGTTGTTGATTTTTAAGTTGGACTGTCGAATGATTATCTGAAATATGACCAAAAACGTAATTAATCAGATTTCATAGCTCAAATCAAAAAATACAAATTATTAGGCAAGCCGAAGTTCCAGACCAAACAAATATTCCTTATTCCAAATAAATCTTATTATGGCATAAATGGAACTTTTAGCCAGACACAGATTTAGCGATTTGTCCTTAAAAATCAGCAATTTTTTGAGCAACTTCTTAAACCTCCAAATGCAGAATGAATTCTTAGCATTATTAAAATTAGCCAAAACTGAATTCTTCCTAAAAATTTCTGCTTGTACAACATACTGTAGACATGCATTGTTTCATACAGTTCTAGTACTGTACATTGTTTTATTAAATATATATATATATATATATCCAACTTCGTATCACTCAATTTTACTGTAGATTTTGTACAATCACATGACATCATGATACAACTTTTAAGATCAACACATTGTGGTTTTTTTTAATTCATATCAATCCTCACTGAAATTGATGCCTGGTACACAGAAACATGGCATTATTTTTCTTGTGCATCAAAAAGTTCCTTGACAAATGCCTATGTTTAATGGGTTGATATTATATAATTGACCTCAAATTTTTTTCAATAAAAATATATTTTACTTGTTGTAAGGGGATGTATAATAAATTTATCATTATAACAATATATAAACACTTGGAATCATTAAGATCAAATTTTTGTTACACTCTACCAAAAAGCTGCCAAATCCTGTCAAGACTTAGATCCTTATTTTGTGAACTTGATAATAATCTAACAGGCTGAAAAGTTCAAGTTTGAGAGAATTGATTGTTTCTAAAATTCCTTACCATCTTCTTCCAGTTTCTGTAAGCAGCTGCCATCATGATACTGTGGGACAAGGAGCCTATATTCCAGGAGAGTCTGTTATAGTACGGATAGATAGCCTGAAAGTTTACATAGCCTCTATAGTTAACTGGGTAAAACTGACAAAGTTTACAATCATAGTCTCCACAGTTAACTATAATACTGACAAAGTTTACAATCACAGCTTCTATAGTTAACTGAATAAGGGGACAAAGTTTACAATCATAGCCTCTAAAGTAAACTGTAATACTGACAAAGTTTACAATCACAGCCTCTACAATTAACTGAATGAGGGACAAAGTAATTAGTTTACAATCACAACTTCTACAGTCAACTGAATGAGGGACAAAGTTTACAATCACAACTTACAGTCAACTGAATGAGGGACAAAGTTTACAATCAAAACTTCTACAGATAACTGAATGAGGGGACAAAGTTTACATCACAGCTTCTACAATTAACTTAATGTGGGACAAAGTTTACAATCAAAACTTCTACAGTCAACTGAATGAGGGACAAAGTTTACAATCAAAACTTCTACAATTAACTTAATGAGGGACAAAGTTTACAATCAAAACTTCTACAGATAACTGAATGAGGGGACAAAGTTTACATCACAGCTTCTACAATTAACTAAATGAGGGACAAAGTTTACAATCACAACTTCTACAGTTAACTGAATGAGGGACAAATTTTACAATCAGAACTTCTACAGTCAACTGAATGAGGGGACAAAGTTTTAAGTTTTTTTAAAAAAAAAAAACCCTGTAAAATATAAAATAGTACATTAAAGTAGTACTAACCTTATCTCTGAAGCCATATTCATCTTCTCTGGTGGCAATCTGGGGGATTTTGTTGGCTGCTAACACTGGGGCCAGACCCTCTGTTAGGGCATTAGTTCCCAGGCCAATTATACCTCGCACTCTCTTGTGTGGAGTTGACTACAGAATATTTCAAGAATTTTCAGACATATTTTGTCCATATAATTTTTTCTAAATGCTGCAAATCTCACAGACCTTTTTCCTATTCCATCTGAAACTTGAAATCATTGAAAAGGGAGAGGGGGATGGTGAAATTTTGGTAACAATTTAATTATTGGAGCATTTATCATTAGGTATATTCCTCTTATTAAATGTTATCAGTGTATCAATTTACTACTACATCTAGCAGTAAATTAATCACATCCAACTATTGGAGGATGAGGGAAATTAATTAACTTTGTCACATTTGATTCAAAAGATCTGCATGAATTGCAAGTTGTTTTCAAAATAAAAGATGAGTAAGAAAAAAGTTTTTATTTACAAAACACACAAATCATATCGTACTCTACCTATGGGATCCTTTACACACTTTATTACATCCCATGTACATGATGTAGCTTAAAATATTGTAACAATAATACATGTATGTTGGCCTGATAATACTAGATAGGAATATTAGTAACTAGTATACACACCTCTCCCTCTGCTAGCATTCCATCCAGTTGTTTGGCTGTAGTGACTGGATCATTATTTGTATTGTATGAATTAATGTGAAGATTCCTTCCTGTATAAATAATCAAACACAATTCATAAACGCTGTGCATACTTAGATTAAAGAAGTCAAAAGTTGGATTATAACTTTAATTTCTAGATTTTTTTTTTTTTGGCTCATACTAAGAATAAGAAAAATACTTTGGGTAATGCCAGTAAAAATTATCTGAGGACAACAATTAAAACAAGAGGCCCACGGGCCTTATAGGTCACCAGAGTATCATGTAACAACTTTCCAGCGATTGTATTTGGTTCGTGTTTTAATCCAAAAGCCATGAAATTCACAAATTTTGAAGAAGGCACCATTGCTTATCAAAGGGCAGATTTCAAAGCATTAATTTATTTTTAGTCAAAGTATCCCCCTGGTACCCCTGACCCAGCGTCCCTGAAAGTATCTATTTTGAAAGAGGCCCCTTTCTTCATTATAAGGCCAGCATTTTTTTTTTGTTTAGGTTAAGTTATGAACATGAGAATAAAAAAGTCCCAAAGGAGAAGGAAATCAAAATTTTTTTTTGATAAATCAATTATTAACATTTGTACATTCTTTTTTTTTTATGCTATTATAATAGGCTCCTTACCACTGGACACATAATGCTTACAAATAGGAAAGTAAAACATTTAATTGCTTATTTCATCATCTGCCAGTTTGGGCCAGTTATATAAATTTTGTAATGTTGGTCAAAATATATCTTAAAAAATCAATTCTTTAAAAGTCTTTCAATATATCTTCATTTTTTTTAATATGTGTTAGGTGAATGTGTAGACATTGTTCTAAAATTTAATCCTATCATAAAACAGACAGGGGGTATTGCAGGTGTAAGGTGAACATTTTTTCAATCAAGTGTAAAATAATTTTTCTGGCTGATACAAATGATACTACATGCCTGTATATATTTGTATATTCTTGCCTTAACAATTTCTTCTTCAAATGGACTGAACTTCTCCCATAGTTTTATTCATTACATCTGATGCATAAGCAACCCTTTTCTGAAGAATGATGCTTAGACTGTAAGCTATAACAGAGACCTAAACAATGTTGCTGCCCGCTGGCAATATGCAACAGCTACCACGGCCAGTTTAAAACCTGGGGGAGGAAAATAATTTACAGACAGATACTTTTGAAACGAATACATAATTATCTCACCAGCATGTCATTGTGCAACAAAGTCGTCAGCATTTTATTTGTCCTTTGAACAGGTGAAACTTTTTGAATGGCACTCGTATCGATGAATTTTACACTAAACCAAGCTATCTTTCAGATCTCGCTTTATTTACCCGCCGTTTCATCTTAAAACCGGAAGTGCGAGTTCGTAAATGTGAAATCTCGATCCCGACTCAAATTTGACATCGGAAAGAAAAAAATTGTTGTATTTTTAGGTCACCTGAGTAAACTCAGGTGACCTATTGCTATCTGTTTTCGTCCGTCGTCGTTCGTCGTACGTCGTCCGTCGTACGTCGTTCGTAAACATTTCAACATTTTTAGCTTCTTCTCTGGAACCACTGAAGCAATTTCAACCAAATTTGGTATACAGCATCTATGGGTGAAGGGGAACATAAATTGTGAATTTCATGGTCCCTGCCCCCCTGGGGCCTGAGGGGTGGGGCCAAAACCACGAAAATTAGTGCAATCTTTAAAAATCTTCTTCTTTACACCTGGACATCAAGCAGTCAAACTGTTGACATGATTGTAATCATCAGTGAGTCCTCTACCAAAATTGTGAAATTCATGGCCCCAGGGTCAGGGGTTCTGGTTTGGGGGGGGGGGGGGGGGGCTATATAGATTGTATAGTTAAAGTTCATTATTTCTTTGAAAATCTTCTCCTCTGCTCCTGGGTATAAAACAAACTAACCAAGGACATAGTTATGATAACCAAGAGTGCCTCTTCGAAAATTGTGAATTTCATGGCCCCAGGGTCAGGGGTTCTGGTGTTAGGTTGGGGCTCTATTGATAATATAGTGAAAATGCATTTATTCTTAAAAAATCTTCTTTGCTTTTGGGTGTTAAATAAACCAACTAAGTAAATAGGTATGATGAGCAAGAGTGCGTCTTCCAAAATTGTGAATTTTATGGCCCCAGGGTCAGAGGTTCTGGTGTTAGGGCGGGGCTCTATTGATTATATAGTGAAAATACATTAATTCTTTGAATATCTTCTTCTCTGCTCCTGGATATTAAATAAACTAAGTACATAGTTATGATGACCAAGAGTGCCTCTACTAAAATTGTGAATTTTATGGCCCCAGGGTCAGGGGTTCTAGTGTTAGGGCGGGGTTCTGTTGATTATATAGTGAAAATGCTTTAATTCTTTGAAAATCTTCTCCTCTGCTCCTGGGTATTAAACAAAATAATTAAGTACATAGTTATGATGACCAAGAGTACCTCTTTCAAAATTGTGAATTTCATGGCCCCTGGTTCAGGGGTTCTGGTGTTAGGGTGGGGCTCTATTGATTATATTGTGAAAATCTTCTCCTCTGCTCCTGGGTGTTAAACAAAATAATTAAGTACATAGTTCTGATGACCAAGAGTGCCTCATCTAAAATTGTGAATTTTATGGCCTTTGGATCGTGGGTTCTGGTGGGGCTCTATTGATTATATAGTAAAAATACATTGATTCTTTGAAAATCTTCTTCACTGCTCCTGGGTATTTAACCAATGAACTATGAACATAGTTATGATTAGGAAGGATGCCTCTTCCAAAATTGTCAATTTCATGGCCCCTGGGTCAGGTGTTCTGGAGTTGGGGTGGGGTTCTATTGATTATATAGTGAAAATGCATGAATTCTTTGAAAATATTTTTCTTTGCTCCTGGGTATTATGCCAATGATCTAAGTACCGGGGTATATATATTTATGATGGCGAAAGCTGCATCTAGCAAAATGGTTAATTTCATGCCCCCTGGGTCAGGGGTATCGGGGCGGGGGTTACATAGTTTGAAAATAAATTAATGCTTTCAAATCTGCACTTTGGTATTAACAATTCATTTATGATGAAATAAAAATTCCACAATTTTGATATTTGTGCTTCCTGCGGGGTCTTGGACAACCGGTTACAAAGTGGAAATGCATTTTTTTCTTTGTTACTCTGATCTACCTCTGGGTATTAACTATTAAGTAACTAGAGTAAGCATGCGTAGTGTATAATTATGATAAGCAACAGTGCCTCTTTCAAAATTGTGAATTTCATGGCCTCTGGTTTAAAACACTAACCAAAGTCCATTGTTTGAAAGTTGTTATATGATACTCAGGTGACCTATAAGGCCCGTGGGCCTCTTGTTTTCTGAACATTCAAAACCTTGAGCGGAGGGTTTGTAAAACTGAAAATAAAATAAATCCTGGCCTTAAATATGTAATTAGATCATTAGCATATCAACCAGGATGTTCAAAGAATTCATGCATTCCACTATAATATAATCATTAGAGCCCCACCCTAAAACAAGAACCCCTGACCCTGGGGCCATAAAATTCGCAATTTTGGTAGAGGCATTCTTGCTCATCATAACTATGTACTTAGTTAGTTTATTTAATACCCAGGAGCAGAGGAGAAGATTTTCAAAGAATTCATGTATTTTCACTATATAATCAATAGAGCCCCGCCCTAGCTAACACCAGAACCCCTGACCCTGGGGCCATAAAATTCACAATTTTGGTAGAGGCACTCTTGCTCATCTTAACCCTTTGTGTGCTGACTTGTTTTACGTGCGCTGTAACCTCAGGACTGAGTTGTTTTGTAATATCAACAAAATTATCACAATGGTGTACTAAAATGCAAATATCTAAAATTGTTGATAACCAATTTACTTGAAATTTGGCAAATATATAGCAAATGTTGTGTTTTTTAATATTTACTATTTTTTTTTTAAAAATCTAAAATTTTATGTTGCCATGGAAACCAAATTTTCAAAAAAAATTATTTTCAAATGACTTTTTAGCATTTTAACTATATTTTTCAGAGAAAATATTGCACTTTGATGAAAAAAAATAAATCAATCACTTTAAAAATTCAATTTTAGTTTAATATTATGCAAAAAAAAAATTAATTTAAACAATAACTCAATGATAAAGTCAATGTTATATATATATATATATATACCGTTATGTTGTGAAAAGTCATTGTATACTTATCTGAGTAAGGGATATATTCATATAGGTTTAAGTGAATTTTGATTCAAGTTAATGGATTTTTTTTCAGATTTTAACTAAAAAGAGTATAAATTGAAGATTAAAGTAGCCTGTAAATATAAAACCAGTGATTATTTTAAGAAATATGGGCAATCATATAAGAAAGTATGATCCTCAAAGAATATGCAGTTTTTGAGGTTGGGAAATCTTGGAGCAAATTGGCACAACAATGAACTAATTGCTGTTAACTAGTATTCATTTTCAAATTAAAGCAGTCAATATGTTAAATAAATAAAAAAAATAATAAAATAACATTTACACTAAGTTATAGAGGTCTTATTTTCTAATGACTGGTATCTAACAGCCCTAAATATACTCTAGTAATTCTCAAATTTTATCTTTTTTTTTTTATTTTGCTTTTATTGAAGAAAATGCATTTCTCCATGTTATTTGTAAAGTTTACATATTCATCAACTTTCCTCCCACAGTACTTCTCACTCTGTGAGAAATGTGGCATTTATTTTAGAAGTTTTATTCCTGGCTGGCAACAATAATTGCCAGCAGGAAAACTAGTACTTTAAATTTTAGAAATTTAAGCACCTTTAAAGACTTCGTTCAATGTGGTCACTGGTGAATAAAAGTTTTGATTTTTTTCAATTGATTTTAGTTAATGATGGTTGACAGATATGTACCATAATATCAATCAATATATTATGAAATACTTTTAAGTTTATGCAAGTCTAATGGTATGGGTCATGGATATAGGCCAAGTAAGCTCAGTCAGTAGAGCATCTGACCGGTGAGGCCCCTTCTTAGATTCATGGTCCAACCGTGCATTTTCTCCTTCCTTGTTACATATTTGATGCTATTGACCACTCTGGATTTGCAAGTGAAAGT